TGCCCTCCTCGAACACCCGTCTTACTCGGTACGGACCTTCCCAATTTGGTCCGAGCTTACCAATGTCGGGCTCAGGTACCATAACCTTCCGAAGAACTAAGTCGCCGATGCGGAAGTGTCATTTTCTGACCCGGGTGTTATAGTACCAAGCTACTCTTTGTTGGTAAGTTGTGGTTCGGATGTAAGCCAGGTCTCGTACTTCTTCTACCAGATCTAGGTTGGTACGGATCTTGTCATCGTTCGTCTCCTTGTCGTAAGCCTCCAACCGTAGTGTGGGCACCTCGATTTCCGTTGGGATCACTGCTTCTGTGCCGTAAGTGAGGTTGAAAGAGGTTTCACCTGTGGCGGTCTTAATGGTAGTTCGGCAGGCCCAAAGGACGCTAGGCAGTTCGTCCACCCACAACCCCTTGGCTCGAGCTAAGCGAGCTTTGAGTGGTTCTGACCTGGGTGTTTGTGACTTCTGCTTGCCCCGTTAGTGACTTCTGCTTGCCCCTTCGCTTGTGGGTGTGTCACCAAGGTGAAATTTTGTTGGATTCCCATTTTGGCACAACAGTTTTGAAACTTGATATCTTCGAAATGCTTCCCATTGTCAGAGATAAGTACCTGAGGTAGCCCGAAGCGACATACTATAATTTTCCAGAAAAGAAATTCTGTATGTTGTGGGCTATGATCGTTACCAGAGGTTCGGCTTCCACCCACTTTGTAAAGTAGTCTACTGCTACAACCAGAAACCTCCTCGGTGCCAATGAACTGATTTGCGAGCTTTAGGAACTCGGTAATGTCCTTCGGTTTGTTTACTACAACATGCCATTTGAACTCTCTATGGGTAATTCCCTTCTTGGCTACAGTGAGCCTCACTACCGAGTTGAGATCCGGTATCTGCAGGCAGGTGTCAATGAAGCATTTGGTGTAGCTCTTGATCGATTTTCCTTCCCTCTAAACCACATTGAGAAGGCTTTCTTGGGACTTCGGACACTTTTTTGCTGGTGATGAAATGTGCAGTGAACAAGTCAACGAACTGTGACTAGCTTTTGATCGATCCCGACGCGAGGTTTCGATACTAGGTTCGAACTACCCCTTTAAAGGTAGTAGAGAAGGCTACACACATGCAAGACTCATCAGCCCCAACTAGGTGCATCTGGGACTGGAAATAGTCCACATGGTCGTTAGGATCGAAGGACCCATTGTACTTGTCAAATGGGGGCATCTTGAAGTCTTTTGGTATCGGGGCCGCCAAGAGCTCGGCAGATAGAGGAGATGACCTGCAAAGTAGTGGAGGAGCGGTCTTTGTAGCTATCGAGCTCGCTTCTTTCTTCCCTTTGGTTTGTTCTTCTCGTTGGCTTGGCTTTGCTAGTGGGCTGTTCTTGACCGAGGTATGGTGTGTCTTGCGACGTCTCCACTGCTGTTTCCTTACTGGTTCGGCATTGGTGCAACCGGCTTCAGTTTGATCTAGTGTTGCGGTCCTGTTGTGAGGTAGATCTTGGTTTCTCGAGGGATTCTGGGGCAGACTATCATGGAGGATAGAGAGGTCCTGTCTTGAGTTCGCACCTCGAATCCCGAACTGGTTATCTACTCGCGATCCATCATTCTCTTGCTGTGAGTGCCGAGGCGGATTCAGTTGACTATCCCCAGACCTATTTCTGAGATTTCTTTGCGAGGCCGGTGGAGTGTGTTGACCGTCTCTCCTCCCTCGGGGTGAGACCTGACTCCTGAGAGGAATCAGTGCTTGTGAGGTCTCTTCGCCCCGATGAGGGTATTGGTTGATGTTCTAGTTAACTCCAAGGCGATTCAGGTTCTAACTGTGATGGGGCCCTGGGTGCCAGGTGGAACCGGTTGTTGGTTTGGCTGCAGTGGAGGGAACTGGTGTTGATATTGCTGGTAGAAGTAATAATGTTGATACTGCAGGACCTGCTGCATCTAGATCCGAATGGCCCGGACGCACTGAACGAGGTCATGGAACTGGGAACTCCCCACTCCAGGAGGAACCACGAAGGGCTTAGAGAAAGTTACGCCTACCACCGGGGGAAGTGGGGCGCTCACCTGTGTGGTGCTTGGTAATGCAGTTAATGATGGGACTCCAAACCCTGTGAGCGGAATGGTGAACTGTCCGATGCACACCGTAGGAGCTTGAGAAAATGTTGGCTGCTGGGCTTGCCCCCCGGTGATGTTCAACTCGACGCTTTTCCCGGTGTGGTTGGAAGATGCCATTGAAGTTGAAATTGCAAAGAGGTAGGAATGACCTTTTGATTGTTTTCCCACAGATGACGCCAATTGATGGTGCGCAATCTGACTACTCCTAGCTGGAGGATGATCTAGACTCCAGGTGGACGGCAATCTGGATCGGTGGTCTGCAAAACAATCTATTAGAGAACCCGGGGTGGCTAACCCGGCGAGGTCGCTCCGATGCTTAAGTCAGTATGCTGTAAATGCGAGATGAGTGCTTGAGAGCTTGAGTGCTAGAGAGTAGAGTAATCACGTGTACCTTTGCCTTGAGGGTTCTCGTCTTTATATACTGGAGTAGTCGTGGGTCTCACGAAAGAGCTCCGGGATCTCCGGGGTGTGGAGATAGAGTCTGTTCCGCTTCAGAAGGAGCAATACGTAGATAAGGCTTATCGTTTTACTTCTGACTCTAGCGGAGCCAAGATGAGTCCTCATCGTGATCTTGGAAAAGTTAGAATCTGTTGGCTCATCATGATCTCGAGTAACTTGAGATCCATTGGAGACACCTTTGGAGTCGGTTACGTGGCGATTCAGGTTGTTAGCTTCGAGCTGATACTTCGATTCTTTAGTTTCGAACTGGATTGGATGTTGAGGTGCCTCGATGCCGAGGTGACTGAATACCCGAATTCCAAATGTTGTGAACTAGGCTTGGCAGGCTGAACTGTCATACCTTAATTAGGTCACGTCCACGTGCCCCCTTTTCGCTAGGTCGGGCCAAATCACCCTTCATTAATTTCTTCCCTCCCAACAAGTTTCCATCTACCTATTTTCAGGATATCTTTGATTCTCCTCCACCATTTCCTTCACACAAAAATAAGCAGATTTAACCGAAATGGACCCATTTACGGATTTAGTCCAAATTAATTTATCCTCCCAATTTCCAAAGGCTAGTGAAATTTTTAGAATATTCTCTGCTATTGGATCCTCGAAGAGACTTCTAATCAAATTTTCATTCCACTTCGAAGTGGGAGTTGTCATTAAATCCTTAACCCAGATACAACTATTGTTTTGAGGCTTTGGGTTCATGATTTGAAATCCTTGAATCTTTTGAAGCGAAGGATCCTCCCAAACTTGTATCTTTGTCGTAGAGTTTACAGCCCAACAAGCCCCTTATTTTAGAATATCTCTTCCTGCTATTAAACTTCTCCATCACTAGGACCCCTTCAGAGATGATTTTGCACTGAGGAAGTTCTTGTCTTTTAGGTGCTTTCCTCTTATAATTTGTACCCACAAGTTATTTTCTTCTCCATGCCTGTTTTACTAACAAGGCCAAATTGAAGTTATCTGGATCCCTGAACCCTAAGCCCCAATTATTTTAGTTTTACTAATATTTGTTCACGTAATCTACTGAGTGTCCCTCTTTCCTTTACCCATTACACCACCAGAATTTCCTTTGGACTTTTTTTATTTCATCACACACTCTTTTGGGTAGCAGAAAGCAGGACATTGTATACGCGGGGATTGCAGTAACTACTGAGAGAGAAGAGAATGCATATGTATAGTATAATTCAAAGTTGTAATTAAAGGTATGAAAGCTCCTAAGAATATGAAAGGTTTCATCACTTCATTATTTGGATAAAGGGACGTCACTTCTTTAATTAATTGGGTCATATCACCATGTAAGAACAACCATCCACTCATGTAGAGTATGCTTGCACATGTCATTTCAGGTATAAATTTGTGGCAGGAATTGTATGATCAAAATGCGGTTCCAACCTTTTGTCCATTGGCAGCAAAGCAAGCATATTATACCCGTATAACCCCAAATAGCTGAAGTGGGAAGCTTTTCCAATCCCAAGCCCAAAGTAATCATCATTAATCTCATCTTAATTTAGGTATTGTTTGCCAAGTTTATTAGAAAAAATTTCTAATAATCTAAATGACCAAAAGAAATATTGAGTTTTTGGGGTTTTATCTTTAAAGGCAAAAACCATTTGATAAGTGGTTCAATTTACTGGGCTTTTAAAAGCGCATTTAGAGGTATCATGCAGAAAAACCAGAAAACTTCATTTGAAGCTTCCCAACTGTGCTTTGGATTACAGATGATGGCCACTTCATGGTTGGAGAAAAAAATCTTGCTCCCAATTGATCAAAATGATTTATTTATTTATTTTTATAAAAAAGAATGGACAAACCCAATGCAGATTTTTGATTTCTACTGCAGAACTATAAACATTCAAAATGTCAAAAATCCCCACTTTACACACTAATGCCCACGTGTGAATTGCCATAAATTCTGAATTGGCACCCACCCCAACTGTACTTTGGGTTTAAAAATTCTGACATTGGGCTGAACTGTTATTCTCCCTTTTTTTTAAACTTTCCCTAATACATGTTTGTGAGAAATATCAGGTGCTTTTTGGTATACAACTAATCATCTATCAAATACTTAATTAAGCCCTAATTCTTACCTCTTCTCTCTCTCTCTATATATATACACCACATTTTGTACCATCATGCATATTTCGAACTCGTGGCCTTATTTATTTCCGACCGATCATGTGGAAATATCTTATTTTGGAGATGGCAATTTGTCCCATTGCAAAGGGTTTTCCGTGGTTAAAACAAAAGACAAAAGACCCATGGTCGGAGTACCTTTCGTCTGACTTGGGCAACCTTAACTGCCCATGTCAAATCTCCCTTTTTATTGCTGAGAAAAGCACAGTAATAGCAAAAGCAGGAAGCCAATGGTAGCAGTTATAAAACAACAACAATAGTCATGCATCATGTGACTGCATGTTCCGCTGCACATGGGCATTTGGGTCCACGGGATTCCAGAGTTAGGCTCCCGTCCCACTCTCTGTTTGCAATGGTCGTGTACGAAACAATAGTGCATCCTTCCTTCCTCCTTCATAGGCTTTTGCCAAAATATCTTTTGTTGAGAGGTTCACTTTGACTGCAGCAAATGCTAATTTGTCCATGAAAATTAACACATGTTATTAGTTATTGTCAAGGTTTTAAAAACTGATTCAGAATTGGAATCGGAGCCGTTCTGAGCACTGGTTTCTGGGTTGATGGTTCGACTGTTCTGTTTAAATAGATGACCCATTTTAATAAAAAATAAAAAAGATAAAAAACTATTGAATAAATCAACAATTCAATCGCCCAGGTCAATGAATCATTGACTCATTGGCCTGTGATCAGTTTTGGGATAAACAGAACCAATTACCTGAACGATTACTGAATGGTGATTCGAAAACAATGATTATTACTAATACAACTCTTAATGGAATGAAATTAAAGTTGCTTTGTTATGTAGCCCATTTTCTCATTTCTCTTTCATGCACGTTTTAGAACTTTGTTTCATTCTCTCTGCGGAAAAAGAGCTCAAACTGTTAAACGGAAGCACCCATCACCATCTTGACAGTAACCGGAGGTGAGTTCCTTTAAAAACTTTGGAAACAAGTAGGTATTTGGCACATCATCTCACCCATACAAGTACAAGCTGTTAATCAGYGTAACAGACTACGTACCGATGCTTGAAATTCCTTATTCGCTCCTGATAGCTAGCAAATTAAAAGAAGGTTCACCAACAAATTACATATATTAAAACTCATTAATAGACAAAAGTAGCTCTTTATAAAGCAAACCTGTATTATACTATACATGGGAAATGAGCTTTAATTAATAAAGCACTGAATCAGCTTACTTATGTCAATTTCTATCAAATTACTGTTTCAACCCTTTGCTTTCTTACTCTTTCATCTTATGTTCTTTGCTTTTCTTCTTCACGTTAATTGAGAAACAGTGAGATCACAATTTGATGATTTTATCCCAAATAAACTCTCTCTATATCTATCTACCTGTATATGATCAAACTTTATAAGTTTTTACAAATTCCAATTTACTAATGCTTTTGCAGAATAAATATCTCATGATATCCTTTTCAGAGCTTGGTAAATTGTGAAACCCCAAGAATTGCTTTTAAGAGGTTGGACTTGTTTGTATATATTGCCATTCAAATCATTCATTGAAAAGTGGAGTATGGATCTGCTCCTCAAAGTGGGTTCTTCGTCCCATTGTCAACGTCACCGTCACAACACTTTCCTGCAGCTGTATATTGAAAATATCTTTCATACTTGTATATTGTTATTCATGAGCAAAAACGTTGTGGGATGTACTGTGAGATCCGAGTGAGGAATAAACCCTGATTCTGAAAAAGTGATAATAGGCCTAACATCGTAAGAAGTGGTCCTCAGTGCAACGAATTTAGACATGTTTCAAATAGCTCATAACGATTAAAGTGCCCTTCTATAGACGGAACATCTAAAAGGCAATAAAGCAACTTTCTTGTTTTTAGCTGTCAAATCTGTAAAAAGAGACTTTTCTGCCATGCAGGTATGAGATTAAGTTTTATCAAAAACCACCCACGTGTGTTGATGAGGATTCATTTTAAATAATAATGCCTAAGGTTCAGTTTGGAAAGAGTAAAAATATAAATATATAGTATAAATTCATACAAAATAATACCAAATACATACTTTTGCACTTTATAAATTTGTATTTGTATTTCTTCCAAACTGAGCCTAAGGCTTAATTTGGAAGGAGTACAGATGCAAATATATAGAGTGTTGTTCGAGTCATGGTTGAGCTGGTCCTAAGAGACGTGTGGCTGCTTAGTCATCGTTCGGCCACGTTGGCCTAGTTCGACCGAGCTATGCTATTATTGTGACCCCCATCTTATCCTTTTAGCCATGTCAGCTACACGTCACAAGGATGAGCACAACTACGGATAAAGAGGAATATGATGATTCCATTGGAGAACGAGACTCAATCCTGAATACATTGGTTGCTAACCTCATCTCGACAACCCTGAAAGCCCAACGGGTCTTTGGCTATAAAAATGCACTCCATGCTCAGGGTAAGTGATCCAATTTCTGAGACCTATACTGCTATTCTGCTTGGACCAATATCCCTATAGCTCGGTTCGGCCATCCATCACCTCCTACTGACTTGAGCATCATAGTACTTACCCAAGGATAACTCCTTGGGTCTCTGACTTCTCTTCTCTTGATCGCAGGTCTTGAAGTGTGGCATCATCCTTGTAGCTCAACCTCACCCTACCAGCAAGGACTATCTTATTACTCTCCTCAGTTCATGCACCACCTTGGATTGAGTAGCATCAAGTGCAAAACCTTATATTTTGTATTATTTTATGTGTATTTGCATTCTACATATTTGTATTTGTACTCCTTCCAAATTGAGCCTAAGGCCCAATTTAGAAGAGGTACAAATGCAAATATGTAAAGTTCAAAACCTTGTAGTTAATATATTTGTATTTATACACTTCCCAAACTAAGAAAGGAGTACAAATACGTAGAGTGTAAAATGTTGAATTTTACATGTAAAAGCATGAAATGTTTCCCATGTGTTACTTGATCTCATGTGGGTAGGTGTAGGTAGAGGGTCTGGACTCGCATACATTATTTAATCAAAGTAAACAACGGCCAAAATAACTGGAAATCTCTGATGGGTGGAAAATTTTCAAGTTAAAGAACCCTTTTTTTTTAACTTGGCTCAGGTAAAATTGGCTCGGGCAGTGCTCAGATTCAGTTAGGAAGGAGTACAAATACAAATGTAAATATATACAGTATAAAACCTTATTATGTATTTATATTGTACATATTTATATTTGTATGTATATACTCTTTTCAAACTGGACGGGTCCAGTCAAACTGTTCTACTTTTTTTGTGTATTTTTCAGCCTTGTATAAAAGGGCATTAGACGTCCATTAAAATTGCTCGTACATGATGAGCAAGACTTGCTTTGCCGATGTATGAATGCATGCTTGGAAAGAATTGGGATCTCTTAATAAAAAATGGTTCCAACATGATCCCACCGTAAGACAGAGACCCACCACCATGTATGAGATGTGGAGATGCACACGTTGGAATACATTTTTTTTTTTTTTTGTTGGGAGGACATCAGACTCTTTAGGAAGTTCAGTATATAATATATTATGCAGACCGGCCAGTGCAGGAGATTCAAGGCATGGTTTTTAAAATCGACCCGGTGACTGAATTGGTCAGGGGTCTGGTTATCGGATCAAACAGTCCAATCGTTTGAATTAAATGCTCGGCCTGTTCTGACAAGAAAATAAAAAAAATTCAAAAAATTAAAAAAAAAATAAAAATTGATCAAAACTGTTCGAACGATTCAAATGGTTAATTACTCGATTCTACGGTTCACTGACCAAAATCAATGATTTTGAGGGAAAATTCGGTTTTTGAGAAAAATAAAACTGATCACCTAATCGATTCCCAATTTTTCCGGTCCAACCGCCCAATCCTGTCCAGTTTTGAAAACCATGATTCAAGGCTGTTTTAGCTGTTGAGGCAGATTTGGAAACATTTATTGGGATGTGCTGTGGGGTCTGATGTGAACTCCTACTGGGGGATAACTTTTGGGTATGATACGTCCACTGGTGTGGGTTAAAATAATAATCGACCTCAATATTCTTTTAACCAAATAGACAAATAGAGGACGGAATGAGTTGACATGTCGTACTCAAAAACGTAACCAAAGTACAGAAGAAGGGTGAAATCATGGCCTTTCATGCATTATTGTGGTCCCACCTTACCCCAGTTCAAGGTTGAGCCCAATCAATTATACATCGAGGGCCATGATTCACCCTTGTAGGACTAGGACAATTCTATTCCAGTGGGAATAGCTGATTTTTGAGTACACGTTTTAAAACCTTACAGCATATTCTAATTATGCGTCAGGAATATCTCCCATTCTGATTTGTTATTTTTCATGAAAGATGTTTTTGATACACGATGCGATGTGGTTGTGAGTAGCAGATCCCAATTCAAAATCTTGGCCTTAGACGTACTGCAATAATCCAATCAAAAAGCCATTGGGCAATGGCAACAAATCAATGGCCTTGATTTAGCTGTTTCATGCGCAGGGCTACAATTGCAAATGTGGGTTACAGTTAAGCAGAAGTCCCATCATCAGTGACTGGAGTGAGTGAATGAGTTCCCTTCAAAATTTTGGAAATAAGTAGGTATTTGGCAAATCGTCTCCACCCATAACCATAAAAGTAGAAGCTGTTCCACTTATTCGGATTTGGGAGGAGGCAGTGTCCGGGAATCAGTGTAAATTAAAGACTACAATGCATGGAATTCCTTCACTGTTGATAGCAAAAGCAGGTTGACCAACAAATAAATATATAGGTTTTGCACTTTAGATATTTACATTTATACTTTTTCGAAAGTAAGTTGAAGGCTCCGTTTGGAAAGAGTGTAAATATAAATATGTAGAATGCAAAACTTTAAACTTTATATTATTTTATATGTACTATTGAATGACCCCGTACTAAGTACAGGAAAGTTAATCATATATATATATAAATATTAATAATTTTTATTACTATTTTTTATTACTGTTTATAAACTGTCATTTTTAAGACACATATACAGTCTACGGGTCATTAAATTCAACTTGAAATGTTTATTACTTTAATTTCACCATTATTATTATTATTATTAATTTATTTTAGTATTTAATTTAAAATTTTTGTTATTTAGTAATAATATTAACTAAATTTGTAACTATTTAAATATTTATTTAATTTTTTTCCAACCGAGTATAATTTTTATATAATAGATTTGTTAATCCATATTTTCCATTTAAGAACAAACATTAATGATTTGGCTTAACAATTTTAATGACTATTAATAAATATCGATTCTTAGTAATTATTATGGGGCATGCTTTGAATAAACATTAATGATAACTCATGATTGTTATTTCATTTTTTATTACTTACTTAAATAAGTACTCGATGATTGTTATTATTATTAATTATTTCTATAAATAATTGATTGTTATTATTATTTACTTAATTCTGTAATTTTGAGTAAGTAATTATTTGATTTAATCTGAATTATTTCATTTTTTTA